GGGCAGGTTTGTTGCATGTATTTGAAGGTAATGATGATAGACAGTGACTTGCCTTTCATGGTCCTTTGTGCATTGGGGCGGGGTCACGACTCTGCCTAGAATTTGTTTACAGGAACTGCCTCTTTGGCACAAATCCCAGTATTCTGGAGGTAGAAGTCAGAGGATTATGAGTTCAAGGCCAGCCTGAGCAACACAGCTAGACCCCACTACAATACCCTACACCCCCACAGAAAAAAAAGGGATTCTGATAAAATGGGGAATTTCTAGGGAGCCTCCTGTTTGCATGGATGGGAGCTGGGTTATATTTTATAGGAAACCATTTCATAATAGGGACATGGTATATAGAGTTGGTGTGGATGAGCTACTAAGGGTGCTTCTCTGTGTTGAAGGTGTCACCAGGGGTACTGTTTATTTCCAGTGATAGTTCTCTCTTGGCTTTGTGGTACCAGACAGACTTCAAGATTTTTAAGTTTCTAAACAAAATAATAGGCACCCTGAGTTTTGAAGGTATGTAATTAATACAGTTTTATGTATCTGGGCACATTTTACATATTAGCATGTACCTAACTGCTTTTTTTTTTTTGAGATTCCCTATGATCTAGGGGAGTTCATTCTAGAACTAATTGAAAGGACAAATATTAATAGGAGAATGTCAGTTTGCAGTTACTTTATATTCTGAGTCTCAGGAAGTTCTTTGTCACTTTGAGCCACTCAATGTAAGTCCCTATATTGTTTCTTTTTTTTTTTTTTTTTTTTTGGTTTTTCGGGACAGGGTTTCTCTGTGGCTTTGGAGCCTGTCCTGGAACTAGCTCTGTAGACCAGGCTGGTCTCGAACTCCTATATTGTTTCTTACTAAGATCATTTGTTGGCTATATCCGGACCACAGTTTTTTCTGTAAAAAGGGATGCTGCTGCCGTATATTGAGAAGAGTTACGAGAATTAGCCTTAATGTTACAAGAAAAAACGCCTAGCATAATTTTGGGTGTAAAGTAAATGTTCATCAATATGTTCTGTTACTATTATTATCTCGGTTTTAAATCTGCACTTACTGGAAATACAGTACCCTCCTATCTGAAGCACTGTCTAAGCAGCTTATTACAGACCCTGAAATACTTGATAGTTAACTTCTGTTGGTAGCTCTTTGGTTCCCATTGTACTACAGTTTTCATGTGAAAACTAAGGCATAGTAGTAAGGTAATAATACAAACTTTTTTTATTTTTAATTTTTGGTTTGGTTTTTGAGATAGGGTTTCTCTGTGAAAAGTCCTAGCTGACCTGGAACTTGCTTTGTAGAGCAGGCTGGCCTTGAAATCAGAGATCCACTTGCTTTTGCCTCCCAAGTACTGGGATTAAAGGTGTGCGCCACCATTGCCTGGCTCTGATTTTTTATTTCCAACTCTAATATCTTAGTTATTTAAATAATGAATAATTAATTTGTTTTCAGTCTGATAAAACTCGAAACCATGGGTTAAATTGAGTGATTGTAAAAATATATTTTTTACTGGTGAGTTAGCTCATTGGGTAAGAGCACTGGCTGCTCTTCCAGAGAACCCAGGTTAGATTTTCCAGCACTCACATGGTAGCTTACAACTGTAACTCCAGTTCCAGGACATCTGAATCCTCTTCTGGACTCCCTGGCCACACAAGTGGTACATAGGCATACATGAAGGCTGAACATTCAAACGCAGAAAATAGAATGTTTTAGAAACTTATACATACACATACTTACTTGCATATGAAATTATTCCAATCAGGAAGATAGATTTTTAATTTCTTTGCTGGATGTACAAACTTGTTTTTATTGCATTGATTTAGACCTGTGGTCTGTAATGCTATAAAACTAGACGCTTGTGTTTGTGTCATAGCTGTGGTATTAGTCAGCTGTTGCCTCTTCTAATGGCACTAGGGCTTCCTGCTTTGCATCTTCCCTCTGATGGCTCATCTTTAAATGACATGTCATACTGTGCTGGTGGTTGCTGAGACTGTGTTCTACCTATAGATTAAAGCACAATTTAAATTGAGGGCTGTCTCCATCCCTGCTAAACTGGAATCTTGTAAATTCTACAGTGTCTTCAGAATATTGTTTGACATTAGGTTTATATGTAGCTCAGTATAGAGTTAGGCATAGAAAAAGATTATAGGTCTACCTCAGTGCCTTGCCTGGCTTAAGGAGGCAGAGCCATAAAGGGTTGAATAGTTCTTCACTTGTCTTATTCTAATACTGTGCCTAAAAATACTGTGTAATTTGATTCATTGACTGTGATTGTGTTGTAAACAATACCGCTGGAAACAAATAACCCATTGATTAGAGAGCCTGAAAAGCAATGGGCGGTACACACACGTAGGTAATCTCAGAATGCAGTAAGGGAAGGCAAGAGGATCAGTTCAAGGCCATTTGGGGCTATATAGGTAGACTTTGTCAAATTAAAAATAAGACAGCAACTACTTAAGGCTTATAAATTTGAGCTTGGTTATCTTGTATTTTTAATTGGTAAGCTTTTTATGGCATCAGAAAAGTGGATATAAAGGCTTATGGAAAAACAAACATAACAGTAAAAACATTAAAAATCCTAACGGGGGCTGGCTCACAACCATCTGTAATGAGATCTGGTGCCCTCTTCTGGCCTTCAGATATACATGCAGGCAGAACACTGTATATATAATGAATATATAATGAATAAAAATTCCTAAAATGGGGAATGACATTAAACACACATTATTTTATGTATGCAGACATTAAACATACCATAAAGCTTCTGTAATGAAAGCAGTGTGGTAGTAAATGAGCGTTAGTTCCACTTTAACCTCTGCACTCAGGAGATACAACAGGGTCACTGCAAGCTTTAGTCTATATGACAAGGTCTGTGGTTTTTACTATAGATAGATCAGGGGTCTAAATAAAAAACAAACAATATGCATTCTAAAAGAAAACATGGTGAATTCTTTGGTGTGAGATTTTTTTGACTTAATGCAAATCTAGAGGTAGCAAAAGCCAGTGACTCATAGATTTTACTGTATTTTGGAGGACAATTTCATTAAGAGAGGAGCAGAAAAGGGTGCCTATTATCTCTGTTCTGTTCACTAGTGTACTGGAGATTAGCAAGTACAATTAGAGGAATTAATTCGTCAGGCTGGTGTGGAGGGCCTTCTTCATGTCCTCAATCTCATCACTTGGAGGCAGAGGTGGGGAGATCGCTGAGTTGGAGGCCTGCATGGAATATATAGTGAAACCCTGTCTCAAAAGTCAAGAAGTAGTGAGCCCTTTCTGTTGTTTTTAGGTGATGTATACTGGTTGTATAGTATTCCTTTATCCAGAACACTTGGGGCAGAAATAATTCCATTTAGGGGCTTTTTTTTGCTTCAGATTTTGAGGTGTATATATGTATATGTAATGGTATGGGACCCAAGTAAACTTGAAATTCTTTTGTTTTAAATATACCTTATACCCATAGCTGGAAGGTAATTTTATACACTATTTTAAGCATTCTGTTTGACAAAAGATCTATCTATCTGAGTCAGATGTGGAATTTTCTATTTTTTTGATAATAAAATATAAAGAAATTTATTTATTTATTTATTTTCTGAAATGTTTTTTTTTTTAATTTATTAAAGATTTCTGTCTCTTCCCCACCGCCGCCTCCCCTTTCCCTCCCCCTCCCCCAATCAAGTCCCCCTCACTTGTCAGGGAATTTTCTATTTTTATTTTTATTTTTTGGTAGTACTGGGGAGTTAACCTAGGGACTTGTGCATGCCAAGCAAGCAATTTATTATATAATTTCCCTACTTGCTCTCTCTCTCTTCTTAATTTGAAACAGGATTACTCACTTCGTAGAGGTAGGCCTTAAACTTTGATTTACCTTTCAAGTAGCTGGGATTATATTCAGGCTTGTGGTACTAGGTCCATTTGTTGTAAGTATGGAATATTTTTCTTTCCTTCTTCGAGACAGCCCTAGCTGTTCTGGAACTCACTCTGTAGGCTGGCCTCAACTCACTGAGATCCGCCTGCCTCTACCTTCCAAATGCTGGGATTAAAGGCATGCAGCGCCCCCACCCCCACCCCAAGTATGGAATATTCTGTGCCAACATGTTGATGATACTCAAGAATGTTTTGAATTCTGAAACATTGCATATTTTTTAATTAGAGAATTATAAATAAGGAATTGTTAATAAATCTTGAGTGGTAAAATTGCTGTTCAAAGGCTGTGTGGTAACCTGTACTCCAACCACTTGGGAAGTGGAGGCAGAAAGACCAGGAAGGAGTTCAAGGCCAGGCTAGGCTATACTGGACTCTGTCCTTCACTAATGTTCAAAGCCCAGTAACCTTTGCTACATACAGATAACTAATTATAGAGCATGATGGGAGCAAGGGAAACTTAACTTACAAAAGCAACAGAATTTACAGGAATTTACAGAATACTAGGAACAGACCCAAATAAAAACATGTAACACTTATTATACTCCTGAGATACGGAATTAGACTTGAAAAAAATGGAAAGATAACCATTGGCTAAGGGCCTTACTGTTACAAAGGCTATAATACCAAAATTACCAACAAACTTGTTTGTGCAGAGTTAACCATAGAGATCCCCGCCCCAGACATGGTTTCTCTGTAGCTTTTGGATCCCATCCTGGAACTAGCTTTTGTAGACCAGGCTGGCCTTGAACTCAAAGAGATCCACTTGCCTCTGCCTTCCGAGTGCTCTGATTAAAGGCATATACCACCATCACCACCAGGCAAACGTAGAAATCGTGTGGGAAAGAAAATGTGTAAGAATTACTAACGGAGGGGCTGGAGAGATGGCTCAGTGGTTAAGACCATTGCCTGCTCTTCCAAAGGTTCTGAGTTCAATTCCCAGCAACCACATGGTGGCTCACAACCATCTATAATGAGGTCTGGTGCCCTCTTCTGGCCTGCAGACATACACACAGACAGAATATTGTATACATAACAAATAAATAAATGTAAAAAAAGAATTACTAATGGAGGTTCTTGTCTTCAGGATAACTGGGATGATGATGATGACGAAAATAAAGAGGAAGCAGAAGTAAAACCAGGTGAGTCACTGATGCTGCTTCGTTGTTTTAAACCAAATCTCTCAGTATATTTTCCTTTTCTTGTACTTTTGTACAACAGTCAGATTAAGTACCTACGGGTTTTCTGTTTGATTGCTGGGTCATCTAGGTAGGAGAAAAGAGTAGAGGAAACGGTGTTGGTGAATAATCTTATTTGTCTATTTGGATCTTTGGGGATAAGATTTGAAAGAAAAGGAAGAGTACTGGAACTTTTATCATTTCCAGAATATCACCATAAGACTCTGAAAGCTAGGGAGGTTTTGTCTCTTCAGGTGTTCAAGTATCATATCTGCCTAAGCTACAGACTAGAAGGTATTCAATATAATTGTAAATAAAATATTTCTTTCAGAAGTAAAAATTTCAGAAAAGAAAAAAATAGCAGAAAAGATAAAAGAGAAAGAACGGCAGCAGAAGAAAAGGCAAGAAGAAATTAGAAAGAGGGTAAGTTCTTTTAGTTTCCGTAAAATGCATACAGAATTCATAATGTGTCAGTTGTGGTACAGCGTCTTAACTGGCTACAAATATTACCTCACAACCTGAAGGGCTCTGTAAAGACAAAGTGGATATAGGTGCATCCCAGAGCAAAGGGATTTTTGGTGCAAAAATCCAACCCAGAAGTCTTACATCTGAAAATACTTTCAGTTTCATCAGAACAGTTAGATTGTGCAGTGACCACACTTAATGTTTTTGCTAGCACCTGCAGTTTTGCTTTTTTTTTTCTTTCAGTGCTGGGATTGAATTCAGGGCCTCATGCATGTAAGTGATCCCTCTGCCACTGAGCTGTATGCCCAGCCCACCCGCAGCTATTTCTAGTCACAGTCATACACAGAGAATACACTGAGCAAACCTTTGTCATGTCCTAAAGTGGTTTTATTCTCGATTATTTGTAGCAGGGTCCAGAAATATTGTTATATTTATTAATTTTCTTTTTAATAGGAAACATTTCATAATTCAAACTAATATAAAACACTGTTCCTTATTCTGTCTTTCCCACTATCCCTCATGTAAACACTTGTTCCTTATCTTTCCATCATACCTTTATATTTCTGTGTGTATTATCCCCAGCTCTCTTTGAGACAGACTCTAGTTGTGTAATTTAGGATGACCTTGAGCTTGATTTCCTCTTGCCTCCACTCCCCAGGTACTGAGATTATAGATGTGCACCGCTAACTGGCTGTCTTTTCTTCTGTAGTTTCCACTTCATTTTTATTTACTTTACTGTAGAAATCTTCCCATACATAACATGGAAATACCTCTAATACTTTACTTTTTGTTGTTGTTGTTTTGTTCTGTTTTTTGAGACAGGGTTTCTCTGTGTAGCCTTTGCTGTCCTGGAACTCACTTTGTAGACCAGGCTGGCCTTAAACTCAGAGATCTGTTTGCATGCCTCTGCTTCCTGAGTGGAATTAAAGGCTGCACCACCACCCCCTTGACTTCTTTACTTTTTGTTAAAAAAAGATCTTCAAATATGAAAGTAGGAACAAAACAGCCATGACGCTATGGACTCCTACTATGACTACATTTGGGATGTCACCATCTTGGAGTACTTGACCTATCTTCATCATAAAAGAGGAGAAACAGATAAAAGACAGATTGCTATCAAAGCCATTGGCCAATCAGAGTTGAATGCGAGCAACCCTGAAGAAGTACTGCAGCTGGCAGCACAGAGAGGGAAAAAGAAGTTTCTACAAGCAATGGCAAAACTTTACTTTTAAGCAGTTAGTTAATTTTTTAAACTTTTATTTTTTAAACATGGGCTAAAAATAAACAGTATTAAAAGATTAAGTTTAAATACAAAAAACTTGTTAATAAGGTTTTTGTAACTTGTGTTTTACTCAAGCACAGTAGTTTATTGTTTGAGACTTTTATACTTGTATATAATGTGTTTAGTTGAAACCCCTAGCTCCTCCCCTCCTGTCTTCCCCATTAATCTCCTTCCCAACTTCATATGCTGTTTTTAAAAACTAAAGAGTCTACTTAGTGCTGCCAGTGTGTAGATAGGTACAGGACCATCTACAAAACCCTGTGTTCAATCCTTCGCACTTCATAAAACAATGTGGCACTACATGCCTATAACCCTATTGCTTGGGAGATGGAAGCAGGAGGATAAGAAGTTTGAGTAATCCTAAGTTAGGTAGTGAGCTTGAGACCAGCTCGGGGGCAGGGGGTAGGGGAGGCTGTCCTTGTGCTTGTTCACACTACCACCACCATCATGTATGGTACACACATATGAATGAATAAAACATTGAAGTTTCAAAGCAGGTTGTGGTTCTGCATGCCTATAATCCCACTGAGAGAGTTACAGGTTTGAGGATAGAATAGCCTGGGACAGATAGAGATCGTGTCTCAGTAAAGAAGCAAACATTTGTAAGAGCTGTGCATGGTAGCGTATACCTGTACTCTCATCCCTCCCTTACTATATGAGACTATCTCAAAAAAATTTAGAAATCAGAAAACAAAAAAAAAACTATAACTTGTTAAAGAATAAAATTTAAAGCTCTGAAGTGGAGTTTAGGGTTTGTTTTGTTTTTCGAGACAGGGTTTCTCTGCGTAACAGCTCTGTCTGTCCTAGAACTCTGTAGACCAGGCTGTCCTAGAACTCCCAAGTGCTGGGATTAAAGACATGCACCACCACCACCTGGCCAGGTTTTCAGGCTTTTATATTAGTCTCTAACTTGAGGAGACCTTGACTTGAGTGTTAGTTTGTCTTAAGCCTGACATTGAGATATTTTCAGTTTTGATCTTTGTCTAGGTCTAAAGACACTTGGAAATATTCCATTTTTCTTTTTTTAAGCTCTTTACATTTCCACTCCATGAACAAGGAAATGTGTTTTCAGGAGCTGGAGAGATGGCTCAGTGGTTAAGAGCAGTGCCTGCTCTTCCAAAGGTCCTGAGTTCAATTCCCGGCAACCACATGGTGGCTCACAACCATCTGTAATGAGGTCTGGTGCCCTCTTCTGGCCTGCAGACATACACACAGACAGAATATTGTATGAATAATGAATAAATAAATATAAAAAAAGAAAAAGAAAAAAAATGTGTTTTCAACATGAAAATTTGCATAGGCGGGAACATGCAGGTGCTTGTATTATTCCCCAATAACTGTTATCTGTAGAAAAGACACCAGTTACTATCTATCCTTTCAGAGGGCTGGGGGGATAAGTGAGAGCTTTACATTACTGAGGTGTCATGTTGGTATTTTGATTACATTTGTAACTCTAAAATAAATACTTTTTCTAATGCTTTGAAAATATCTTTAGGCCGGGCGGTGGTGGCGCACGCCTTTAATCCCAGCACTCGGGAGGCAGAGGCAGGCGGATCTCTGTGAGTTCGAGACCAGCTTGGTCTACAGAGCTAGTTCCAGGATAGGCTCCAAAGCCACAGAGAAACCCTGTCTCGAAAACCCCCCCCAAAAAAAAAAAGAAAATATCTTTAATGTCTACATTGCCAGATGAACAGTGCGTTAAACATTCTGTAGTTAATGTCACTAGATTTACTTGCAATTATAAATAGTGTTCCAGTGGATATCTTTGTGTTCAGCTCAGGTTTCTCCACCTCCTCCCATCCCATTTTATGTATATTGGTGTTTATTTATTATGTATACAATATTCTATCTGTGTTACAGATGGTTGTGAGCCACCATGTGGTTGCTGGGAATTGAACTCATGACCTTTGGAAGAGCAGGCAATGCTCTTAACCACTGAGCCATCTCTCCAGCCCCTGTGTATTGGTGTTTAGCTTGCATGCTTGCCTGTCTGTCTACCACTTAAGTGTCTGGTGCCCTTGGAGGACAAAAGAGCACATTGGATTCCCTCAAATTGGAGTTGTAGGTGGTTGTGAACCCCCGTGTGGGTGCTGGGAAGAACACTTGGTCTTCTAGAAGAACAGCCAGTGGTAATCTTTGCCACTGAGCCATCTCAGTGCCTCCTCTCTTAAAAAAAAAAAAGTTTATTGTTTTTGAGTGTCTTGTGTGTATGTATATTTGTACTTTGTTCATGTGGTACCTGTGTATCTCCTGGAACTAGATTTTTAAGTTACCATGGGGGTGCTGGGATTTGAACCCCTGTTCTATGGAAGAGCAGCTAGTGCTCTTAACCACTGAGCCATCTCTTCAGCCCCCTGCCCCTACCTCAGGTTTTATAATATTTATTATAGAATTGATGAAAGCATGTAGAAATATTTTAAGATGCCCTATAGAGGTCTCCATATTCTAGAAAGGTTGCTCAGTGTCTGTTGTGGCATCCTGTGAAGAGTGCCATTTCATCTTACCTATAATTTCATCTACTCATTTTTAACAAGTGGATGGGGAACTAAATAGCCTTTACCTTCCTGGGTTCAAATATTACTCCTGTTATTGTGTGTAAGTTGTTTTATCTCTCTGGGTCTCTATGCTTTATTTAATTATCTATATAATTGAGATATGAATATCCTTTAAAGCGTTTAGAAGAATGCAAAATACAGTAATTATTTGTATGATTACAAGTATGTGCTTGCTTCTTTGTGTAAGTGCTGATGACATAAAATCCATACAATATAAAATATACTCTGTCCACTATAAGCTCGTCTTTTACAAGTGAAACTTGTGTTTCATTTTAGTTAGAAGAGTCTGAAGAACCTAAAGTGCTAACACCTGAAGAGCAATTAGCAGATAAACTTCGGCTAAAGAAGCTACAGGAAGAGTCAGACCTTGAATTAGCAAAAGAAACTTTTGGTAAGATGGTGGGTGCAGTGTTGAACTACTTCAGGTGAAAAATTCTGCCACTCTTACTACCTCTCTGTGAGAGATCAAAAACTATGTTTTTTAAAGGATGCACAAATTCTAATTGAGATTAGAACACTGTTTTAATCTCTTGTTTATGTATTTAAGATTACTTGACAAAGTACAGACATGTTTTCAAATTTTTTGAGTAATATTTTATAGTATCATATATATAAAACATCATTTGTAACACATGCCCATATTCCTAACACTTGGAAAGCTGAGACAGGAGGGTCAGAAGTGGTGGTTAACTAGGGCTATATAACAAGACGGTCTCCCAACGCCCTCCGAAAGATGCCAGTAGACCAGTTAAGTGTACTGTTGCCTAAACTTATGAACTGGATAGATTCTGCTGTCTATGGCTTTGAAATTGAAATACCCAACTGTCTTTGGAGATATCCTATTGCTGTAAGTCCAGATAGGACTTGGACAGAGCAGGTTGGTCCATGTAGAATGTTCAGTTTTGGCTTTGCCTTGTGTTCAGGGTTGTTTCTCTCTCTCTCTCTTTTTTTTTTTTTTTTTTTTGCCTTCATAATACCCTACCTTTCAGGGCCATCATTTATCTTACAGCTTATATAGTCCACCATCAGGGAAGTCAGGGCAGGAACTGAAGCAGAAGTCATGGAGGATTGCTGCTTACTAGCGTTGTCCCTTAGGGCTTGTTCAATCTGCTTACTTACAATTCCCAAGACCACCTGCCCAGGGGTGGCATTGTCCACAGTGAGCTGGGCTGTCCCACATAAATCAAAAATCAAGAAAATGTACTGCAGGCCAATCTGGTGGGGGCATTTTCTCAGTTGAGGTTCCTGCTTTTCAGAGGACTCTAGTTTGTCATGTTGACATAGAACTAGCCAGCATACCTAAGGAAGAGTTAAAAGAAATAAATACAGACTACTTTGTCAAGTTTGTCCTTACCTGGTGTGAAAAAATTCACCAACCCCTTCTCTAGAACAAAGAGGTTTGCTTGTTCCCCTTTAGGAAAGTGTGTTCATGCCCTCAATGGGTTTCTAGCAGTGTTGGCTGTAACTGTGGGTATTCCTCTCCAGGACAGCCCATGTGTGTATGCTCAGTGCAGAAAATCTCATGGGGGTACCAGTTGCAAATTAAGAAGTGGAAAATGAGCTAACAGTCACTATTTGGTTAATAGGAATTGAATTTGTGGTTTTGCTAGATCATTATTTGACATTGAAGAAGATATGTTAAGCAGCATACATACTTTTAACCTAGAATTTTAGAATTTAGATTATTTTTCTCTTGGGTTTTAACACATTGTTACTTCTGTTTAATTTTTGGAGTTAGCTAATTATTTTTATCATATCCGTCTCCTTATCCTTTCCCATCTTTGTAAAAAGTTTTGTTTTTACTTTTATTGGGTTTCTGTACCCAAGGATGCTTGTGGAAGCCAGAGGATAGCTTGTGGAGTTGCTGCCATGGGGGTTCAAGGGATTGATTGAATGTAGGTGGTCACACTTGGTGGCCCCCCATCCCTTTTGTCTTTCTTGGACAGATCTTTTGAGAGCATCCTTCTTTGAACAGCTAGTAAATTCTGTGGATTCCTTTTCTAGTTACAGCTTTTGTTTTTGAGACAGAGTCTTTGTAGCTCTGACTGGTGTAGAACTTAGTATATAGACCAGGTTGGCATGGAACTCAGAGAAATTTGCCTCTGCTTCCTGAATGCTGGGATTAAAGGTGTTTCTAATACTTCAGTTGGAACAGGAATCAAACCCCAAAACAAATCCATGACACACACAGAATTCAAGATTTTTAGTTTTTAGTGCAGGGGATTGAACTCAGGGCTTCATATAAGTTAGGCAAGCACTATGTGAGTAAGCTACATTCTCAGCCCATATTTAGTAATTTACTGGTTGGTGGTTTTCTTTTTTCAGACAGGTTCTTGCCAGGCTGGCCTTGAATTCTTCATCCTCCCAAATGCTGGGATTATGTTTGTAACTACTCAACTTCATATGTTTTTTTTTTTTTATTGGTAGTAGTTGACAGTGTTGTAAGCAGACAGTGATGGGGTTTGTTATTAAATATGATTGTTGCCTAAAATAAAAATGGAAGAAAATGCTAAATTGGAGGTCAGTAAAATTCAAGATAAAATAATTTTTTTAATATTTGAATTTCAAAGGCACCCTTCTGAATTCTGTCCAGAAACTCCCACTGGCCCAGGTTAAAAAGTTCAGTAGTTTAAAAAGCTTCCTAGGGCTGGAGTGGTGGCTCAGTGGCTAATAAACCTGATAACCTGAGTTTGATTCCCCAGAACCCTCATTGGTGGAACGAGTGAAAGTTATCCTCTGATTTTACGTGTTTTTATAAAGTTCTGCTTTAGAGTAAAACTGATGGTTTAGATAGCAGCTTGGTTTATGAACTTTAAAGTTTTTGTTACGGGGAGGAACATGTGGAGATCAGAAGACAGTTTTGTGTCCTCAGTTCTTTCTCCCCATCTTTACATGGGAAGCTCTTACCCTGTGAGCCATTTCTTTAGTCCCCATTGATGAACTTAAAAATGTTTGTATCTTCCTAATGCTCCAGGTCTTCTCTCCTGCAGGTGTTAATAATACAGGTTATGGAATAGATGCTATGAACCCATCTTCAAGAGATGATTTCACAGAGTTTGGAAAGTTACTAAAAGATAAAATTACACAATATGAAAAATCACTATATTATGCCAGTTTTTTGGAAGCCTTAGTTCGAGATGTCTGTATTTCATGTAAGTGATGCTGATTTCTAGCCCCCTTTGTTAAGATTTTATTGTAAACATCATACTTGGGAAAGTTTTTTCTTTTTTATAAGCTTTAATGCTATATAATGTAGACTTTTGGGATTTCCTTTTTAGCAACTATTTTTGGAATGTTCTCCAATTTGAGTATTTGGGGGTGGGGGCAGGCTGCTTTCATTGTTGTGTAGGAGCTTCTCAAAAGAGATAGCTGATTTATGCCTAGCAAAGCAGGTCACATTGTCTCCTAAAGGACTACAAAGTATCTTTAGAGGGAATGGACTAGGGGCTCTTTGGGAACTGTTGATTATACAAGTAGGGTTTGAGATGCTATCCAAATTGCCCAACAGAACTGGTGCCCTTAATGCTGGGACACCATTACCAAGAATGTCTGAGGGTGGTGAGGGGCTTGGGACTGGTTGAAGAGTGTCAAAAGGCTCTTGAATTAGGAGTCATAGTTTGAGGAATGATCAGGAAGCAGGGGTCAATGTAGGTAATGAGTACGCATAGGTGGGTTTTCATTTTACACGTATGTACTGTTTTTCCTGTTTCTTTTGTGGGGGGCTAACGAAACCCTAACATTTTCTGTATCTAAGAACTGATCTGCTACTGTTTGTCCACTACTAAAAGGTGTTGTTCCTGGGCTAGAAAACATAGAGGGGGCAGAGACTTATCATTTGTGTCATTTCATATTCTATGTAGCTGCTACTCAGTGATTGTAGAGGCTGTGGTTAGTCTCCCCTCTGTTTAGACTGAAGGAAGACAGTAAGAAGCCATGCAAACACTAAAGAGTTTACAAACATTGTTCTTTTGTTTTCCAAGACAGGGTTTCACTGTGTTTTGCTGTCCTGGCTATACTGGGTCTCATTCTGTAGACCAGGCTGGCCTGGAACTCAGATCCACCTGCCTCTGCCTTCCCAGTGCTGGATTTAATGCGTGCATCTGGCTAATTAAGAGTTCTTATACTCATTGGGTTGACCATTGTACTTTAGTGTGCTATAGACTGAACAGTTACTTACCTGTTTATTTATGAAGGAGAAATTCATAGTTGTTTTAATAAAGGTACCTAGGTTACAAATGTAGGATATCTATTTTGATTTTATTTTTTAAAATGCTTAAAAATTGTAGTTTAGTATTACGTCTCTCTCTTTTTTTAAAGTGGAAATTGATGACTTGAAAAAGATTACCAATTCATTGACTGTGCTTTGCAGTGAAAAACAGAAGCAAGAAAAGGTAAGAGCAAGCTGTACAGAGAAATGCTTTATGTTAGGGTGGGGCTGTGGGCAGAGTTCCCTCAACACAGTAAAGAGCCTGTTGAAATTCTAAGTTAGAACAGAAGAGCAGCGTGGTGTCTGTTGTCTCCATTCATAGACATACTTGCGTTCTTTTCTGAGACAATAAAACTTGCTGTAGCCTAGCTGGGCGGTGGTGGCAAACACCTTTAATCCCAGCACTTGGGAGGCAGAGGCAGGCGGATCTCTGAGTTTGAGGCCAACCTGGTCTACAAGTAAGTTCCAGGACAGACTCCAAAGCTACAGAGAAACTCTTGTCTCGAAAAACCACCACCAACATCAACCCCCAAAAATGCTGTAGCTTTAACATCTCAAGTGTTTGCTGTGACAGGTGAAATGTTCATAGCATGCAGGTTCATGAATTTTAACTCTTCCTTCATTTTTAGCAAAACAAAGCCAAAAAGAAGAAGAAAGGTGTGGTTCCTGGAGGGGGATTAAAGGCCACTATGAAAGATGACCTGGCAGACTATGGTGGATATGATGGAGGATATGTACAAGACTACGAAGACTTCATGTGACATTCTATCTTCTCCTGGTGTCTTCTTTCTGTTGCCCACAATCCCTTCAACATGTAGCACAACTTCCTTTCCTTTCAGTTCTGCCAAATGCTACAATCAGAAGTGCAGTATCTTTCGTGCTGGTTATTTAACCCCTTGACACTCAGGTGCTAATGAGCAAATGAGGGAACTTGGATCTTGTTGCCAAGGGGTTAAAATTGGGAACTTCAATTGCTACTAAATCATAGTTTAAAAACAAAACAAACCTAATAATGTTGTCATTGTTGCTATCTGACTCCATAGCAGCAGTCACTAAATTGGAAACAAAGGTCGCAACATGACAGAAAATTGTGTAGTATTTACCAGCACCATTCAGTAATACAGCCTTAACCATACCTCCTTGAACTACTTCATAACTTGTCAAGAAGAGCAGTTTGCAGCAAGCAAGGGCATGTGGGATGCACCTAGTATTAAAATTGCTTTGTCTAAAATTTGAGCGTGAGGATATTAAAAACATGTTGTGAAGAAGACTGCTTATCTCAGAGTGAAGATACTGTGG